AGCATCCCAACTCCACGTCGTTCCTGATCCCCAAGGATCCCAACTCTATGTAGATCCTCATCCCCGAGCATCCCAACCCCATGTCATTCCCGATCCCCAAGCATCCCAACTCCACGTCGTTCCTGATCCCCAAGGATCCCAGCTCTATGTAGATCCTCATCCCCGAGCATCCCAACCCCGTGTCATTCCCGATCCCCGAGCACCCCAGCTCCGCGGCGCCCAGACCCCCGTCCTCACCTGCTCTCCACCGAGTCCACGGTCTCCTGCGCCTTGTCGGCGTGGGCGCTGTCCTCGGCCACCAGCTTGCGCCCGGCGGCCACCAGCGCCTGCACGCGTTCCCCGTTGGCCTCCATGGTGGCCATGAAGTCCTCGTGCTTCTTGACGGCGGCCTCGGCGGCGGGCAGCGTGCCGGGCATCTCCGTGTGCGTCAGCGCGTACTCCTGGGCGCGGGCAGCGGCGTGAGGGCCGGGCGCCCGCCGCGGTGCGCCGGCGCCTGCTCCCGCTCCTCACCTGGGTGCTGAGCACGCCCTCGACCTGCTTGGCGTCGCGCAGGAAGAGCTGCAGGGCGTAGGCCTGCGCCAGCAGCTGGTGCCGGTTCTCCCACATCTGGCCCAGCTCCTCCCAGCCGGTGTCGAGGGCCTCGAGGCGCTGCCGCAGGAAGAGGTGCTGCGCGTCCGCGTGGCCCCGCGTCACCTCGGCGCCCACGGCGCGTGCGCTGCGGTAGTCGCCGCCGTAGTGCGCGATCTCCTTGCCCATGCTCTCGTGCTGGCTCAGCAGCCGCTCGGCCTCGGCCAGCGTGGCCGGCACGTCCTCGGAGGCCACGGCGGTCTGCGTGCGCGCCAGCCAGCCCTGCAGCGCGGCCAGGTCGCGCAGGAAGCCCTGCAGCTTGCGCGCCTCGCCCAGCGACTCCTCGCGCCGCCGCAGGCCGCCGCACAGCTCGGCCCACACGGCCTCGATGGCGGCGCGGCGCGCGCCGATGGGCGCCGCCTGCTCCGGCTGCTCGGCCTCCAGCCTGTCGGCCTCGGYGCGCAGCTCCCGCACCTTGCCCTCGATGGCCTCCAGATCGCGCTCCATGCCCGAGAGCTTGCGCTGCAGCGCCGTGACGCCGGCCAGGTCGTTGCCCAGGCCCTGCGTCGACTCGATCACCTTGGTCTTCTCGCGCATCCAGGCCGTGGTCTCGTTGCACTCCAGGTAGTAGTTCTGGATGCTGAGCGCCGCCGTGAGCGCCGCCTTCTTCTGCTCGGCCAGCGCGCGGAAACGCTCCCACCTGCACGGCAGCGCGGTCACGGTCGGGGAGCAGCCCTGCATCCGGAGCAGCCCTGCATCCGGAGCATCCCTGTGCCTGGATCATGCCTGCCCGGAGCTGCTGCCTGCGTCCGCAGCAGCCCTGCATCTGGAGCAGCCCTGCCTGGAGCTGCTCCCTGCATCTGGAGCAGCCCTGCATCCAGAGCAGCCCTGCATCCGGAGCAGCCCTGTATGTGGAGCATCCCTGCATCCGGAGCAGCCCTGCATCCGGAGCAGCCCTGTATGTGGAGCATCCCTGCATCCGGAGCAGCCCTGCATCCGGAGCAGCCCTGCATCCAGAGCAACCCTGCATCCAGAGCAGCCCTGCATCTGGAGCAGCCCTGCATCCGGAGCAGCCCTGCATCTGGAGCATCCCTGTGCCTGGATCATGCCTGCCCGGAGCTGCTGCCTGCGTCCGCAGCAGCCCTGCATCCGGAGCAACTCTGCATCCGGAGCAGCCCTGCATCTGGAGCAGCCCTGCATCCAGAGCAGCCCTGCATCAGGAGCAGCCCTGCATCCGGAGCATCCCTGTGCCTGGATCATGCCTGCCTGGAGCTGCTCCCTGCATCCAGAGCAGCCCTCTGCGTCCGGAGCATCCTGCCACCCGGAGCGTCCCGCTGCCCGGTGCATCCCACTGCCAGCTGCATCCTGCCACTCGGAGCATCCCACCACCCGGCACATCCCACCGCCAGCTGCATCCCGCTGCCCGGTGCATCCCACTGCCCGGTGCATCCCGCTGCC